CCCTTTCTCCTTGTCGGAGTGGGTGCCCTGGCCCGGAGGGGCAGGGCTGTCACCCCGTGCTTTCCCCAGTGACAGCCCTTGGGTGCTCTCCAAGCAGGGGCACCCACCTCCCTCCCCCTGCCGTCACCATGGCCTCAGGGCTGCTGAGAGAGCACAATGTCACTGTGCAGGGACCACCCTGTGTCCCCCAGCACACCGAGCCTGTCGGGGACCTCGGGCTGTACCCCAACCCACACCTGCTCTCCTCTGGGTTGCAACACCAACGATCCCGTTCCCTCAGGACACGGGGAGCCCCACGGCCCTCCCCGCTCCTTTGTGGGGGGGTCTCCTCTGCATGGGGGTGCCCCCAACTACCTCAGGGCTCCAGGCAGGGTCGGGGCCAGGGGGCAGCAAGGGGGTCCCAGGGCCTTGGGGATGGTGGCACCACTCTCGGCTGAAGCCGCTTGTCCTTTTTGTATCGCTGGCAGGGGGGCCCGTCCCCCCCGGGCTTCCCAGCACTGGTGGGGGGGCAGCAGGGGGGGTCAGCCCACTGCAGGGGGGGTTGATGATTATCTTTTTTCTTTTCTTTCTTTTCATTGTATAATAATAATTACCATGTCGTGTGTTTTGGATTTTTCAATAAAGCCTTCAGGACAGTCCAGCCGGTTTGGGGGGTGTCACCCCAGGGGGCCCTGGTAGGTGTGCTCAGTGCCCTCAAAAAAATAGCTGGGGGAGATGCTGTAGAGGTGACCTGGGTGATGTCCTGCCAATGATGCTCCCCTTCCAGCTCTGTCCTCAGGGCTACCCTGCACAGCATGGTTGTTCCAAGAGAGGGAACCAAGGCGTGGTCTCTTCTCAGCCCTAAGAAACAGAGGTGCCTTTGGTCCCTTCCTGGGGGGGGATGTGATATGTCCCCCAGCACTGCGTGGGGTGGCTTGTCCTCAGCCCTGCTCCACAGAGCCAGGCTGGTGGTGGGGGCACCCTTCTGCTGGAGCAGGGGAACAGGAGCTGGACACACTGCACATGCTGGTGGCAGGTGACACATGTGCTAAACTGGGACCGTGTGCCCAGGGGTGTCTGCAGGGCTGGATCAGATGGGGCCAGGGATGGGGTCATGATTGATCCTGCGGGGACACACAGGCGTGTGTGGGATAGGGGGACACAAAGGCAGAAATGGTGTGTGAGGCTACAGGGGACAGGACAAGGCCATGGCTATTGGGAAGGGGGGACATGGGGATTGGGATGGCAACAAGGACAGTGGGTTTGGAGATGGGGAAATGGGAATCTGGGGGTCAGAGAGATTGTGGGGACAAGGAGCTGGGGCTGGGGACAGGAGGACACAGCGGTTGAGGTAAGAGGCCCAAGGGTTTGGGTGGGGGCACAGGACAAGACAGGGATGAGTGAGTGGGGGACACTGGTAGGGAATGAAGGTTCTAGAGCAGAGGGGCTGGGCTGGGGCAGAAGGAGCGGGGATGGGGACAGAAGGGGCTGGGATGGGGCAGAAGGGGCTGGGATGGGGACAAGGACCCGGGACAGGCCCCGCCC